GAGCACCACACTGTGTTGGGTGAATGCAGAAGATATAGAAGCTGTTACATCTGGGGCCACTATTAGTTGGCGGACTGCCAGAAACCAGGCCAATACTGTGGCCCAAACTAATCTGATGAGGGTTAGGCTCAGCCTGCTGGAGACTAGCAGGAAAGAATCTGATGGAGCTGCCTGAGATATTGTACAGATAAGTATAGGCAATGGGGGATTGCATCCGGGCCATGGTCTCTGCCATTTCTCAGTTGGGTGAGTGCATCGTTCCCTCCACAGTGAGACAGTCCTTGAAAATCTTCAACATGGTTGCCCAACTTCAGTGGGTGAGGTTAACCTCTGTAAAGAGTTATCTATTTGTGTCATCAATTCATCCATCTGATTGCACAACTGCTTTGAGCATTCATTTATAGTATCTTTAATAATACTTTTCCCTGATGAATTCTTACTTGTTTAAATCTAATAACCATTGTTAAAACTCTCTGCGCCATCCTAGCACAACCTGTTTGATTTTACTCGAATCAATACACCACTCTATGGCCTGGAATTTTCGCCTACAGCATTTCAGGAAACAAGAAACCTTAAGAACTTTTTTTTTGAATGATTTATCCAATGTAAACCTTATTGAATTAGATGACACAGCAGAAATTTTCTCACTCTTTAGAAAAGCATAACCAATTCTAAGCAGTCAGTGGCCAAGACAAAGTAAAGATAAAGGCTGCAAGGATTGGGCTCACAGTATTGAGGTCACTTCTTCCTCTATTGGATATCAAAGTGTCTTCTGGCACTCTTTGTATCCCCTGATCAGTAAAAATGTTTGGAAAGGATAGGAAATCCTTCAGCATGAGGTAAACTAAAAAAAACCTCAAGCTAGGTGATAGACGAACATCTTGACTACCTTATACATTGGTAAGAAAGGTTCAAACAAGTTATGGACATAGGGTACAGTACTAGTGTCAGGAAATAATGTATACTAATAAGACCTGGAGGCAAGGATCATCAAACGACTGCCTTATTCAGCCAAAATATGGACCAGAATAGATGAAGGAAGACCATAGAAAAATTTCTGTAATGCTTCAGCCAGAAAGCAGAATGGTGTCATCTCAAGATATTTAGATCAACAATGGGCCAAACATCCATTTGTCTTCTGATATCAGTGAACTGCTCTCAACTAACATATGTTGTGTAAATGTTCTGTCTATTTAGCTAATGCATCATTTCTAAACTTTTGTTTCTCAATAAACTTACTAAGCTATCTTTGAATTACTTACAGTCAACTGTGTATTTTAAGTATCTTTGACTCCTGAACCCAAAATCTCACAACTTTATTCATTTATCCATTCCTAAACTTTTCCTCATCCTAATTAATTATCAACTAAGCCTTGTTGTTTGATTAGCTTTCAGCCTGATCTCAGCCTAGTTTAAGTCAAATTTGTCCCAATAGAACAGTTCCCTCTTTCCCAGCTATTCGTGCCAATCGCCCATGAATCAAAGTCCGTGCCTTCCACACTACGCTGCGAGGTAAACATTTAAACATCAAATCTGTTTATCTCTCAGCTACTTTAACATGAATCAGGCCATAAGCCAGAAATAATTATTACTAAGTTTCTGTTTTTTGCTTTGCACTCTAACTCCTCAAACTCCATTGGCAGAACCTCATTTCTAGTTCTACTTATTTCATTGATTACAACATAAATCACAAAAATGGGATCCTTGGCTGCCTACTTCCAATTCCTCTCCATTGCAAAGAAATTCCAACCACCACAGTCCTGGGGACCTCTAGGCGGAACTTCAGAGCACAATGTCCATCTAATATAAAGTTGATAGGAGGAAGGGGCAGAGGATTAGGGCATTGACAAAACAGAACGACACTCTATGTCAATCATATTTTAAGTTCAAATTAGACTAAATTCCTAATAACAATATTTCACAATCTATCAGGTAGCAATGTATGAAGTATTAAAATATATCATGTTTAGTTGACAGTATAAGCTTCTGCTTCTCACTTCTTTTGTTCAGGTAATCTCAGGCATTGGTCTGTTTGAAAACAATGCACCTAGGAGTGCTTCATGATGACACTGTGATACTGGATATACACAACACTCACTTAGTAGCATAGAACTTGAAAATAGAAAAAAGGAGACGTCGTCCAAGGACAAAGGCAAAAATACCAAATTTCAAAGGGAATAACAATTTATACTGCATGAGAAGAGTGTTGATTCATAGGCAAGCTGACTCGGTTTGAAACGTTGCCATTGAGCATGAACAAAAGAACTATACGCTTTCCTGTTGAGCGCAAAAATGAATAGTTTCAGCAGCATGTTTTTTTTTAATTTTAGGAAAAAAAATTCACAACATGGATATATTTCGATTTGATTTTAAAAAATCAGAGTAGTAAGAATTAAAAAGAAAATGGAAGAAGTTATACCAGTGCTGCAGTTTTTTTAAACTTTATTTAATTTCAAAGAAAAGCAACATTTAACTTTTTGAATGGTTATTACAGTTTAATTTCCATACTGTATAGAATTTAGAATTTGATTTATAAATGGCCAGACCATTTCTTTACTACATAATACATTAAAACATAATTGCATATTCATAATTATGTGCAATGAACCAACAGGGATAACAGCCACTGAGGAAATGACATATATTTGTATATATGTATATATAAAAAAAGGTATTTACAAAATAGCACGCAAGATGAATAGAGCTATTTCTTATTTTTGTTCCAATATTCTTGCTCTTTTCTGAAACAGTTGACTCCTGTTGGGATATGGTTGCACAGGCCTAAAAGCCTTTCAGTACTTCACCCAAATATTTAACTTTTGTGTGTATTTGTCTATATATTCGCTGAAAAAGGGTATTGACAAGCTTTTCAAGCAGATTCTGTTCTCAACCAACATCCAGATACAAGCTCTTTCCATTAGGAGCCACTGCTTTGTAATCAGGGATGGGATACCTGGCCAATTTTTCTCTCCAAGGCCCAGGGGATGCTAAGGCTGATGTAGCTCTTCAGCTGCTGCTCACTTGAGATCAGCTCTCACAGACCAGGGATGAAACCTTAGACTTTTTGGTCTACACATGCACTTTTATAGTCAATAGTACCTTTACCCAGGAGGCCATTGAAGTGCCAACAAACTATTCTTAAGCAAAATGAATTGGTCAGATCTAATTATTTTTCTCAAATCCTTACATGTACATTCATTGTGCACAGCATCTGTGTGGAATGGCCCTGCAATACTCCTAAAAGACAATTCTCATTGTTTGACGGACAGCTTAAATAAGGTCAAAGTAGATTATTATGGGTTGAGTGCCATATGTAATAGACAGCTAAAGGAGCAATACCTGCTTTATCATTAGCACTGAGGGAGCACATCAGATATAAAAAATATTTCCACACTGCACCAAATTATGATTCATTTAAAACCAGCTCCCGGCTCCAAATATAACAGTTAGCTCACTTATATTACAGAACACTTTCTCTGGTAGATGGGTTGACTTCAAAAGTAGCACATATGTGGATGTAATTGCACATGCAAGTCCTTTAAAGTTGCAAATGGATTTTTTTTAAAAAACTGGTGTTGGGGAAAGTGGTCTGTTTAGCAGGAGTGGAGTTGCTGCTCATGAAGACTGCAGTCCCTTAGTGGTTCAGTCTGCCTGGAATCATTGTTTTCTTGCCACTGCATAAGTTGAATCCCCTGTACTTAAACTTTCTTTTTGAGGTGAGCTTGCTATTTGAGAAAGGGGTTGCAGGTGCTTCCATCACTGGCAGAATCACTCCTGTTTTCACATTCATACATTGTCACCACAGCAGCAAGTGCTATTGACAATTGAAGATAATTATAAGCGAATTATATGTATCACCAATAATCTTTTACCAATAACATTAGTATTGATTTTATCTTTCAAAAATATTTCACTGTGTTTTACTTGTTCTTTAGTATCACTCAATGAACAGAAGATGGAGATATGTTCAGTGGCAAATGTGCAAAACAATAAACTCTTTACATTATATATCCACACACTTTGTACAGCGATGCACCAAAGATTCAGGAACCATCGATACTGAATCTATCAGGTTCAGAAGTATTTTGTTGGGGCAGTAGGTTGGGGAGAGAATGTTCCTTTTAACATTCTAGCTAATTCTAGTGATGAATATCCTCTGTATACCAGACAGACTCCTTTAAAAAGCCTTAAGCAATGTTTCATCAGCAAATGCATCAATGCAAAACTGATTTATAACTGATAATATAAAAACAGCTGTGTATGTGTGATGGAACCCTGAAAATGAAATTCAAGATGGTCATTTGTCCACGCGTTCACATTGCAACCTTTTTTCTGCTTTTAAATAATTTCATTTTTATTATATAAAATTTCAACTACATTACCGAAGCAAAATAAATGTCTTTTTAAGAAGCTGCTGGAACCTTATTCACAGTAACACGTGTATGACTTTCAGCACTGATATGACAGTGACATAGCATTTCAGACAGCCAGCATGAAGATTCCACCTGCTCAGAGAGTTAGTCTGCAGCTGAAAGATTTATATATTTGGTGGCACCTTATGCATTGACTACTGTCTGAGTGTTAACCTCTTGCTCAGATGCTGACTGACCTCCTTTGCAGTTTTTGTTACAAAATCCAGTATTATTGGATTTTCATTCCATCTCTGAAAACTTAACAGCCTTTCCTCCTCACTATGCATAAATAAGATAATTACATAATCATATTGCACACCTCTCTCTCAAACTATACAAGGCATTCTTCTAAAACATAGCATTGCATTGCAAATTGATTCTCATTCACTAAATGGGTGATCCCAGGGCAGGTTTTCAACATCAAAAATATATGCTTGTGAACAGTAAAAAAAGTAATTAAAATCTGAAAACAATCGGCATCAATACTGGTCGATCAAAAGGCTAAAAATTGAAATAATGCAATGTAGTTCTTAGACAATGCTACTCAAGTCAAATACAATGCTACATGTTTGAAGAGGCATGGCCTATAAGTTAATTGTGATATCTCTGAAATGCCTATAACAGCTGAAATACAGGGGTATCTGAAGTGAAGAGTATGGGGAAGAAGTGAATACCAAATTACAAATACATTTATTACACTGTAAAATACGAAATGTTACCAATGTCACATCAATCATATAATAATACTGCAGGACTGGTTGGCAATTTCTGGTGTTCTGAGTTCTTGTTGGAAATGCTCTGGCTGCATGGAACAGAAGTTTGAAATCAGTGAATAAAAGTTTGGTTACAGGTTCAGTCCTTAACATCTCCTGTTTGTTTTTAAAAAGCTGTCCGGTGAGTAACATTGAACACTGGACAAAGTTTTGAGAATTCAGTTGTCGGCCATGTATTTCCCTAAAAAAGAAAGAGAACTAGATTAGGAAATACTGGAGTCAAACTCAGACAGACCATAGGGATAGCTGGCTTTGAAAATATAACACAGGTCATTTGGCAATAGTGTTAAATACACACTGTTGAGGCAGCTTAGAGGGGGATTAATTTTATATCCAAGTGAACTGTACCTGACCTTCCATGTGGACATTACATTAGCCTCCTTGGGAGTTAACTTGATCAGTTACTGTAACTATAATAGAATCTCCAGATCGATGCTTAACTGGGATTTCTGATGATCCACCATTGAATTGATGTGAACAATTGGAAGAACTGGCAAAGAAGTCCCAAAGTGTCTATTTTGACTTTTGTGGAACTAACTGTACCAGTCAGCCTTTGCCTTCTTCAGTGAAGATGCCCCACTGATTGTGAAGTTTGGTCTCATTTGACTCTGGCAGGTAAGTTCTGGGGCATCAAATATATGTGCCAGCAAGTTAAACTGTGGCACTGAATTGGAAGGTGGGTAGGGGTGGAGGATGATTAAGGGTGATTATGGTGGATGAACAGCTCATTTGAGGTTCACAAAATTGATCTACCATTGCCAGTGTTAATGGACGGTAAGACTACCGACCAAACCTCCAGGCTGTTACAGGCTCATTAATGTTAGGTGAAAGCAGTGAAAAATAAACCTAGGTATGTTTCTTGAAATCAGGGTAAGTGTCTCCAACAATAGTCTACAGCAACGGGCACGCATCATTACCAATGAAATTAGCAAATTTTCTAACAGCCTGAAAGTCCTCTGGGTCAACGCTGGAAGTGCCAACTGGATAACATTGCTAAATAACTGCTAGAATCACTGCTGAGCAGCTTTTCAGAGCCATACAGAAATGGGACTAATTCAATTGCTTATTGAACGAGTTGGCATAGATTTGACAGGCTTAATATCCTCCTGTGTTGTTTAAAGGCTTTTCTTTACGTTAGTCAACTTAGGTAATTAAAAATGGCTCTATAGAATTTGAGAAATACCTGCTGCAAATCTCTTTTTAATGAGTGAAAACCTATATCCTGCCCCAACCAATTCAATATCGACGCCTGACAAAGTGCTCCCTTCACTGGTGAATTGGACAGCCAATGTTGCAGGCTTACTTGGTCCTTCTGATAGCTGAAACCTGGCGAGGAGAGATCCAACACCTAAAACAAATCAATGGAAGAACATGTGTATAAAGGAGGCTGGAAATTTATATTCAAAATTGAATAAGTTATCTTTGGCAAACAAGTTAGGGTAGACATGTGACATGAGATACTTTCCGTGATGAACTGCCCACATCTATCACAAGATGGAAGACTGTAGGGTCAGTCATCTCTGGAGCTCTCTGCTTTGCAAGCTGCTCATGATCATCAGACTACCCATTTGAACACAACTGGTTTGTCACTTTGTAGATCTAATGCGGGAAGGGAGAAATTAGACTGAAAAAATATCAATATAACTTTATTTGTTTGTAGGGGTAATGTATGTTGATAATTAAGGTATCTTCATCCCTTAAAAGAACCTGTAGCTTTGGAGTCAAAGGAGGAATGGTTCACTTTTGTAACACTGCCTGGTTTTGTTTCTATTGACTACAGCATCAAAATGTTACTTGCTTCACTTTTGTGTAATGTCATTGTACCTGTGGAACAAGAAGTTGCCATGACACATGGTCTTCCAGAAATTCCATTCAAAACATATGGTAAACCCTGTTTTAATTATGTTGTCATTTAACTTATACCACTAAAATAATTCATTTCAACTAATTTGTTCAAGCCAATTTTACTTTTATTCCTGTTGTGCTTTCGTTTCTTGATATTCTTAAGCCACATATAATTAACAATGAAAATGTGAGCAACTGATCTACTCTTGAGCTTTATTTAGGACTTTTGAGTTTCCTGTTATGTAGAGAGCTGCCTTGCTATCAATTTTCACTTATGATAGCACAGGGGATTTGTCTGTGTGAATGCATATTTAAGTTTTGTACAACTTGGAGAAGTATTTAATTTGGAAAATTAATAGTATTGCATAAAATATGTGAATCCTGAAGTAGGGTATTGAGTTATATTTTACCTCTGAGCCAACAGAAATATATGCCTACTGTCTGTTGATTATGATGATTGTGTAAAATTGCAACCAATGATTAGTGGGCACGAATCCAAAGCAAACAGAATATTAAAGTAAATTGAAAAATCACCTATGCTGCAGCCCATACAATTGCAAAGGCTCTGAATCAGTCAGCGGCTTTGAGCGTATCCAGTGAAGGAAACCTGTGCTCCATGAGAGACTGGTGTGCAATAGAGCGAACGTATTGAACATGGTCAGAACTCCCTGCTCAGCTGGCAAGCTCTATTACTTGGGTTCTTACAATGTAGGCCTGGTGAGTACTATGTGTATGTAGGATATAACAAATTTCACTTTCAATCTTTACACTGGCAGGAGTAAAACATGCCTGTAATGAAATCTAAAACAAAAAAGTTTATTTCAATGGCAGAATTTCATTCTCAATTTACCTCCATTTTCTGATTTCTGGGATATATCTGGGATCTTCCAAAGTATCCTATGTTGTTCAGCATTCCTTAAAAAACAAATACCAGTCAATTAGTAACTTACAAAACTTAAAACAGTTGAGATGAACAAAACCTGTCTAAAATATTCTTCCTTACCTATAGGTGCTTATTCATGCTGGAAATGGCATTTTAACCGTCAGAGACACCTTGCCTAAATAATAATTTTAAAGCCTTCAATAAGGGTCAGTAGGCTAACCCACCATGAGAAAATTACAATGGACTTGGCATTATCCTGTTTGTCAAGTGTATAATTTACTGGCAGGATTCACTGTACAATAAATGGAATGTTTGATCTAAATTATACAATTTTAAAGATGGTGCAGGAACTGAGGGCGTATGGACACAAATCTATGAAGATGTTGAATGAATTCAGAAAGCTATTAAAAGGATATACAGGAACCTTGATTTTACAAATAGAAGCAAGAGTAAAGAGGCAAGGAAGGTGTATTAAACCTTGATAAATCCCTAGGCCTCAGCTCAACTAACAATTTTGGGCAACACACTTTTTGAGAGGGTGTAGGGTTATTCTGCTGGAATGGTATAAGTGATGTATGATTTTGATTATGTGTGGGATATTTTTGCCTAGAAGAGAGAAGGTTCAGAGAACATCTTATGAAGGTGTTCAATTTCTTGAAGGGTTTTCGTAATGTAAATGAGAGGAAAAAATCTGTTTCCAGTGACAGAGGGCTCAGTAACCAGAATTACTGACTAAATCAATTTGTGAAAAAAATCAGAGGTGACGAGTGAACTTTTTTTGCAACTTAATGCAATTCCTAAAACATTGGTGAAACCAAAGACCAGAATAATTTTCAAAATGAAATTGGTAAATACTTAGAAAAATTTACAGGTCAATGGGGATAGAGTAAAGAAGTGGAATTAAACTTCCCTGCTATCAACATCCAGTGGGTTAGTACACATGAGAAACTGAACTGGACATGCCATATATAAACTGTGGCTGTAAGAGCAGGTCAGATGCTGGGCATTCAGCAGTGTGAGACTCAACTCCTGTCTCCTCAGACTCTGTCCAACATCCACGAGGCACAAGTCAGGAAACTGACGAAATAGTCTCCCCTTACCTGGATGAGTGCAGATCCAACAATAATCAAGAAGCTCAACACCATCCAGGACAAAACAATCTGCTTGATTGGTATCTCATTCAACACTGTTAATATTGACTCCCTCCATCACAAACGCAAAGTGGCAGCAGTATGTGCTGTTGGTAAGATGCAATTAAGAACTAAGCGAGGCTCCTTTGACAACACTTCCCAAAATCGTGACCTCCAACACTGAAGGTCAAGAACCGCAGATGCATGGGAACGCCATCCGCTGAAAATTCACATATTATCATGAATTGGAATGGTATTGCTGTTCCCGCACTGTCGGTAGGTCAAATTCCTGAAACCCCCTTCCTAGTGGCGCTGTGGGTGATCCTAAACCCGAGGGATTGCAGTAGTTTAAAAAGGCAGCTCACCACTCCATTCTACAGGGCAATTATAGATGAGCAATAAATGCTGGCCTAGCTATCAACACCCAAATTCCTTTGAATGAATAGAAACAATTCTATAGCAATCAGGACAGAGAACTCTAGCCAGTTAATGCCCAGTTTAGAATGTTAATTCTAGAAGGATTACCAGAAAAGTTAAAGTTCTTGTGAATACATTATTTGCTAAGTAGATTTAACAGAGAATTCATAGCAGGTATGATTGGACAGTGATCATAGATGCAGGTAAAGAGTAGAATGATAATAGGCAGAGAGTGTGGAAGAATGACTGACAAGAGATGCAAAGTGTGGAGAAATGATCAAGGTTGTGTTTGAGTACTGTTGCCTGGAATTGGAAGAATGTCCTTTCCAAAGATTTTGTGTAGGAATTACCAAGCTGAGATATTCAACCAAGTCTGGGGGCCAAATTCTCAATAAATATGTCATACAGAGTCAATATAAAAACAGAAATAACATCTTACCATGCAGCAGGTGGAAGTACAGCCTGTACTTTTGCTACTCCTCCATCTACAGGAGTGAGGAACTGGACATTATTGAGAGCGACAGGTGTAACCATTGCCTCTGCATTATACTTATAATCTATTCGGAGATCAGTGCTGGTGGGTTCACAGCGCCAGCTCACTGCTAGGTTCAATGGTGTGGACTGAATACCCTGTGAAGAGACCTTCAGAAAAGGAAGATGACTATTAATTCTGTGTGATCTTCATTTTTAATTAAACAGCCTTTCAAATATTCTTTCCCTTACTCATGAAGGTGTGCATCTGGAGTTTGGTTGCACAGTTGAACTTTCACTGAAATAATTGTTCCTCACAAGGGGCTGACCAGCAGAAAAAGAGACATAGGACTATTTGATTAAAGGGAACGTTAGCTAACATCTACTAACATTCACTTTCTAGTTACAGTCGTGACCACAAGCAATGGCTGAAGTTTATCTATATTCAGATTTTTAAAGGGGTTTGTTAGCTAACTTCTAATTTTACAAAGTGGTCTTCAATCAGTCAGTATCTGCATTGTGTCTGCTTCAGGCATGAACCCTAGCGGGCTTTGTTTCAGCATTTACTACATGGGGGGGGGGCAATGCATTTCTAATATACATACTGCACCTTTTGGGTGCTTAGGTTCCTTTGTGTTTCTGAGAAAATGGCCATATTGCATGAAAATTCCACACCATGACATATTTTATATATTAAGTGGCATAATTTACCATGTGCACTGAGAGACAATTCAAGCTAAATTTGACCTTGATGACAGTGTAAAACATTCAAAATTGAAACACCCATCATACATCCCTGGTACTTCCAGTTATTATAGGGTTATATGTCTCCTGAATGTGTTGCATATACGGAAGGGGAGTCAAGTCACAAAATATCATCAGTGCATCCTGTAGCAACATTGTTTCAATATAGGTGATCTGTTAAAATTGTCTAGTTAGGAGATAGAGTTTGAGACAATGTGAGACTATTTGAGGGACAACTCCACAGATAGGAAAAATGATATGAAACTTTGCTGTAGTGTTTTCTGTGGTAAATTTTGTGATGTCAGAGTCTGATAAGAACCGAAGTTAAAAGAATGTTCCCATTGTCCACCCGACCTGCAATTTTAGTTTTGAAATTGATGACATGCAATGCACATGAATTTCATTTAAATTCAGTGTTTCAATTAAACAACCAGTGTGTGGGACAGCACATTGCTTTGTCTATTTAAGATAAGAAGTATGATGGAGCTGAAGTAGGCCAGTTGGTCTATTGAGTCTGCTCTGCCATTCAATGAGATCATGGTTATTCTGATAATCCTCAACTCCAGTTTCTTCCCTTTTCCCTATAATCCTTGATTCCATGCTGAAGTATGCTTCTCTCATTTGTCCGTTGTGTATAAGTGATATTTGTCCTATATGGAGACAAGGACTATATTGACAGCAGGAGAATAGTTAGTGCTTCTGGTACTGGACTGATAATCCAATGATTTGGAGATTTGGCACCTGACAAATTTAAATTCATATAATTAAATAAATCTGGAATTTAAAAAAAAACTAATCTTAGTAATTATTGCTATTAAAATGCCAGATTGTTATAAAAATCCATCTAGCTCACTAATGCCTTTTAGGGAAAGAAACTGTCTTTACTCTGTAATTCCAGATAAAACACAGTTGAATCTAAATTATCCTCTGTAAAGACTGAGCAAGCTATTAACTTATACCGATGAATCATAAGAAAAATAGCATGGATGGACCACTCAGCACAACCTAGAGACTGAGATTGAAATCTTCTCTACTAACATTTGAATATTGTGCTGAAGATGGGAGTACTATTCCGGAGGCTAGTCAAACAACTGCCTGACACAGTCACACTCACTGAATCATACCTTACAGGCAATAGCAATGATTGTTATCAATGATAGTGATACAGGCATTTTTGTGTAAAAAAGGCGTAAAAGCTTATGGTGATAGTGTGGGTAAAAGGTACTGAAATGTCTGATCAGCCATAATCATAGTAGTAGAACAGACTCAATGGGCTAAATGACCTACTCCCGTTCCTATCTTTCTATGTTCCTGGCTCATACTCCTCCATCATCAATCTGGCTGTGTTCAGAACTAGTGTTGCAGTAATACACAGTAGGGAGGGATTGATTCTAGGAGTCCTGAACATTGATTCTGGACGTCATGAAGTCTCATGGCATCAACTCAAATATGGGCATTGTAACCATGAGATGATTTAAATTTATCTCCTAGCCTGCACCCTCCCACTGATGAATTTGTCCTCCTCCCTTTTAAATACCACTAATAAGAAGCACTGAGGGTACTAAGGCCATGAAATGTTCTCTGGATGTTCTCTCTAACCACTGCTGGAATATCTTCACCACAAGGACTGCAGTGATTCAAGAATGTAGGTTACCATCAAATTCTCAAGGGCAATCAGGAATAGGTAATAAATGCTGGTCTTTCCAGACAAGTTACATCCCATGAACAAATAAAAAAAAGTAGCAGTGCAAAATGCAGAGACTCCCTTCTGATCTCTAATTCTTTAGCTTCCTGCACTGTTTTAATGAAGTTAAATGCAAGTTTGAGAAACAACTTCTCAGCATTCAATGTGGTGCTTTACAGCTTTCCGGATTGAGTCCAACCTTTCAACATTTGCCCCATTTGCACAGATGGATGTACCTGGTGAATATTCTACACATTCCCAATTACCATTCCTCTGGATCAATTTTTTTGCTTCTTTATTTGTTGAATTTATCTCCTTTCTTCTCACACAATCATCCCATATGTCATTTCACCTCGCTTGTCTTCGACTTTTTTTTATTAATTCACGGGATGAAGGCGTTGCTGGCCAGGCAACATTCATTGCCCAACCCTAATTGCCCAGAGGGCAGATAAGAGTCATTGCTATGGGCCTGGAGTCGCATGTAGGCCAGACCAGGTAAGGATGGCAGTTTCCTTCCTGAAAGGACATTAGTGAACCAGATGAGTTTTTCCGACAATCAACAATGATTCATGGTCATCATTAGATTCTTAATTCCAGATATTCCACCATCTGCTGTGGCAGGATTCGAACCCGGGTCTCCAGAACATTATCTGGGTCTCTGAAATGACAGTCCAGCGATAATACCATGAGGCCATTGCCTCCCACAGATCTTCATTTTTGTTCTCCCCGACACTCAAACAGCTTTCTTGCCTCTGTCCTTGCTTATAACCTATTACTAACGTTTCCAGTTTGAACCAAAAATATTCACCCTGAAATGTCACTCATTTTTCTTTCCACAGATGCTGCCTCTTCTGCTGATTATTTCCAGCATTTTCTGTTTTTAATTCCAAATTCCAGCTTCCGCAGTATTTTGCTTTTGCACATTAAGCAAATGCTTAGAAGAGATAATGTTTCAATCACTTTTTGTTTGAGCAAATTGTGACTGTACACACCCTAATTATTACACAAGGCAAAATATAAATGCTGGTCCTAATTTAGGGTCATCATTTTAAGTGTCAATGGATTTGATCAGCATCGTACTTGAGTGTAATTTAACAGAACACATTTTAAGAAATGGATCACTGGTTTGTAATGTGAATGCCTGAAATCCACGTACCTGATACTTTAGCATATCCACATTATAATATGTGGCTGATGGTTTCTGCTCAGCCACTTTCTTTAAATGAGTCATTAGATTTGGCATGTTTACCCAGAATTCTCTTGTATTGGCATCACCTTGCGAAGTGCTACTAGACAAGAGAAAAAAAAGTTGTAAGCCAGCAAGTTTTTTTGCCAAAATTATACAGGGAAAGAAAACAGAAAATGCTGATGGTTACTGATTGATTGATAAACTATGAAGCTATATGGCAGTCTATTGATATGTTTGGAATCAAATCTTTCGTCAGAACGGGTCTGAAAGCTAAAAGGCATTGTTAGTAAGGATGGGGAAAAAAATAGAAAGAAAAGGGAAGGGAGGAGAGCAGAAATAACAGACCATTACTGAAACGGAATAAATGGGCAGACTGATATTGCATTGTTTATCCTTTAGACTGGCAGTAGTTTGAGGGAAGTTTGATCTCAGACTTTTTTGAGCTTGTGCACTGTGATGCCAAAATAACAAATATTATAGAAACAAAGTAGCTGGGTTGTTATGAGTAGCTTTATTACTATAATAATTGTGACCATTTGCAGTGTTATTTGCAATGAATTGGAGGATGTGTTGTTTTATAACAGAAGTTCTTTAAGCTTCACATCAACTCCTTCTTGCTCCTAATGAAAGCAGCAATATCACATCTTTTGCAATGTGAATTCTCTTATTCTTACTTTCTGATTTAAGAAGTTATTTCTTCCTCAGCACCACTGCCTTAACAACTAGCAACAGGCTCTTTCACCCCATAAAACAAGGTCACTCTACATTGCTTTTCTTGCTGTCTCATGTCTGAATAACTTCCACCTATTGTGATACGCAGTAGGGAGCCAAAGACAGTCTCTCTAATCTTCAAGAACCATGTTTGTTTCCTTCTCACCCCTTTTCTGCCAAAGAGATCAGCTATCTTTCACTGTCTTCCCCAGCTGGTCTCTGTCTTTTCAATATTCTCCATACCAAATACTTACATAACATTGAAAATTCACTCATCAGAGCTAAACTCCCTGTTTATGTATTAGTTATCATTGGACAAGGATGCATTTTGTTCTTTTAAATATACATCCGACTCAGCCATATTCTTGCATACATATATTTTCTTTACATTTGGCATACTTATATAAGGACTGGGGTGTGCATGGTTTTCTGGGGTTTGGGGGTTACTGCTCAGGTGGCAACTGTGAAATAATGTGATTAGGGATAAACTCTGAATCTAGGATCCAAAATCAAAATACTGTGGATGCTGGAAATCTGAAATGAAAATAAGAAATGGTGAAAATATTAATCAGGCTGGCAGAGTCTGTGAAGAGAGGAACAGAATTAATGTTTCAGGTTGACATTGAATAAAGGTCATAAACCTGAAATGTTACACATGCTGCTAGACCTGCAGATTATTTCAAGCATTTGTCATTTTAAATTAAAGAACAGAATATTAAAATGACAAAAAATCATTGATTTGTGGAACAATTTATCAATAAAGACACTCAAAATAATGCAGACAAAGATTCAAAATAAAACAATACTTTTTTCAGAGAGAAATTGGAAAAATTAACACGTTAAAAGGGACGGCAATTGGAATTAATCTGTTAAAAAGGGTTACCTAGTAGCCTTTGCCTAAAAGATACACATCTTTAAATATCCTATTGAAATTGGCATGAATACCCTGACATTTAAGTGGATATGATTGAAGATGGCATGGGACCCAGTTAGACTATATCAACTATCCAAACTTCCATTGTATTTGTCAATCTGTATAATTAAGTGAAAGGAAACACACCATACAATGTATTCTCCACATTTGCAAGCCTCCATAATATGGGAGGACATATGATATCACACAAATGAGAGAAATGCATGAGACAAATTTCCCTTCACTTGTGCCTTGGTGATACTGGTCACAAAGGGCAAGTTATTGACATGCAGGTGTTGGCCAAATTTAAAAGGGAGGTTGGGGGGTGCCATTAGTTTTTTTTTCAAAATTGACAGCGCAGCACAGCTGACACTCTGATTTTGCAACACTTTTCCATTTCCACTCTAAGCAGAGCCATCCAGTAAATGAAGTCTTTCATCTTTCACCACAGTGAACCATGGATCAACTTCAGCAGTCACTCACATAATGATGGAAAGCTCAAACCAATCTTTAATTTTGAAACTTTGTTCAAAGCCACCAGAACAGGTACTATGATCTAGATTATTGTTCCTGAGGCAGTGTGCTGATTTGGGAAAGTTCCCTGCTCAGCAGACCTGTGTCAACAGACAGAGCCATGGATTGCCCAATTTTCCTGCTGGAGGAGGAAGGGGTAGGAAGTGGGAGGGAGTGAATGCTGGGTTGAGAATTGCCTTTCCTGTAAACGGTTGAAGGTAGCTGCAGGAGGTGTCCCATGTGTTGAGACAGTCTGTTTAGACAGCTCATCTTGATGCTCTGTGACTTCGACCACTCATCATCCACCCCTCACTCACCCACTCCCTGTGCCCCATCCATATCAACACATTTACCTCATGGACCCTTATACCCCCATGCCAATCTATGCCCCTCTACCCACTGCCCATGGACCCTTACAACCCTATGTTGACTTTGTGTCAATTTATGCTAACTCATGCCCCACCCTTTGTCCTCCATGCCAACTCACACAGTATCCACCATCGGTAGAGTTTAGGACCTAAGCTGAGAGGGAAGAAAATAAATTTCTAAGAATCTGTTATATGCTTCATTATATTAAAAAAAACTCATGGATAAAAGTCAATTTTGATATATTTAAATCCTTCCAAGTGGTTTATCCTTTATAAAAAACAACACTTGTAATTGTAGCATGACATCAAAGACATTAATTCCTTAATAAACTCTTGGAGCTGTCAGTGAAACTATGAAATTACAGCCCTCCCATCCCCCACTGTGACAATGATAGATCGAGGAAGCAGTCAAGCAGTATTATAATCATAGTCCTATGATGACAATCATCAGGTTTATGTTCACAGCCCCCTCAAAACTTTTTTAAACACAGAGATATGGTAGGTTAGGTTTTTGTTCAAAATATAAATATCAGACAATTTAAATAGCTTGACAGTTTAACAGACCTTATCCACTTCTTTACACACATTCGTGTCTACTCTTAGAAATCAAAAGTCACATGCTGCAGGAAGAATGTGTCTTTGACAGGCCCTACTGGGTTTAGATTTCCTTTACTTGTGAATCACCTCATGTCCCTTCTCCTGCCACACATGAAGATAGGATCAGTTGGAAATCTGGGCAGGACTTCTCAATCTGGAGTACATATGCTGATGAATGGAGTCGCCATAACTCCTTGAAAATCTGAACCTTCTTGTTTGAGTAGAATAGTATTTGTGCTGACTTATGCGAGAGTTAATTTATTGTTGTTAAAATATCCCATTGTGTAAAGTGTAGCAATCCTGAACTGATTTTCATACCTATTTATCTGAAGACATTAGCTCATTGTGGGCCATGGGGTCCATAAGCTGTTAGGCTTCAGTTGCCTCAAACAAAACAGTTATTAAGAATAAAAGAATGCCTAAGTACCAGCCTTGTGGGAAATCACTAATCATTCACATTTAGTATCTCTGAATAGTGAACTGGATCAGGATAAAGAGGTCAAATGAAACATTGTTTACAATGAGTTAATTCAACAAATATTTGGTTGAACAGTATACTTCTTTTGACTCCTTGGCCCTGTTTCACATTTGTCAAAGCACAGAACCATTTGAAGAATGTTCACAGTGGAGTAGCAAGAGTAATAGCAAGATCTAGTGTAAATAGTTTGTTATTGGTGTATATAGATCAGCTGCATTTTTCGCTCTTGGCCAATGCTGAAATTACCTGCAGAGAAGTTGTGGGTTTGGCAGGATGTGTTCCAACCTGCTGCAGTTTGTTATGCAGAATGTGAGAATTGCAGGGCATTGGTTATTGGCAAAATGCCTGGTGATGCCAGCTGGAAACGATAGAACCATTTCTCCTGTAATTTTCACAATACACCTGTTAATACAGAAAAAGTTTGATGTTAACGTAAGTCTAAGAAGATGAGTAATAAAAGCCAGAAATGCTGGAGAAACTCATCAGGTTGACGGAGAGAGAAACAGTTAACATTTCAAGTCCATTATGACTTTTTGTTTGAACTGAAGACAAAACTGGAAAAGTGATGGGTTTTATACCATGACAAAAAAGTACAGTGAACAAGTGGAACAGAAGGGAAGGACAGGGTTAGAGCATGAGTGAGATTAGAGATCACAGCCATCACAGAACAAAAGTAAAACAAAGCAGTAATAGTCATAAAGAAGATAAGCCCAGGGAAGGTGTTCATGGTTAATTGTTAATAGCTTTGCTGAAAGCTAAACTAAGAAAACCAGACCCTGCAGGGAAGCAGGGAAAACAAAATGGAGGACGGAGTTGACTGAAATTATTGAGCTCAATGTTGAGTCAGAGATGACCGTAATAACTCTCAAAGAAAATTGAGATTCTGTTACTCTAAAAAGATTAACATGTAGAAGCCAGTTTCAGTCCTGCCAATACCTTACACTTTTCAGAAAAACGGCTCTGGATAGTGATAAAACAATCTGGACTTTTTGAACAAAATTACTAAGACTTAAAGAATTCTAAGTAGGTGGCTGAAGGATCAAAAATCTGAAGACACCACTGGGGGTTTGGCAAAAAAAATAATAATTGCATGATGAACACTTTTCTTATGTAACAGGTGGTTAGAAACTGGAATGCACTGCCTGAGAGCATGGTGGGGTCAGATTCAATCATAGTTTTCAAGCGGTGGAATTTAATAAACACCTGAAGAGAGTAAAATTGCAGGCTTATGGGGAAATGGCAGGCAATTAAGACTGCATGAGTTGCTCTTGCAGAGACCCTACAAAGACATGACTGGCCTCCTTCTGTGCTGTAACCTTTGCAATATTCAGTGCTCCGTGAAGAATAAAAATAAATACTGCAATATGTAAAAGACCAAATCCAATTGCCACAAAGTGAACTTCAAGGGAATTGCTTCTGCAGAAGATAAGAAAGGATAAAGGAAGGACAAGCCATTCAATCCATTAGACCTATTCCTGCACTGAAGGCAGGCAATCCACTTTAGTATGAACTCTACCACACACATTTAATTTCCGAAGGTATGGATGAGACAACCTTTTTGATTGAGGACTGGACTCAAGGAAGACCAGTTTCATGGTGGGTGGGGGGATTTGTGGCAGTGGTAATGTCCCTGCCTTTGGGCTAGAAGCTCCAGGTTCCAAACCCAACTGCCTGTGTTACGTCAAGTCCAAGTAGGTTAATTAAAAATAATATGAAGAGCAGTCTCAAGTCCTGCTTCCTGACTGACATGTTTGTTTGGAGCAAACTATCACCAATTCTCTCTCCACGAGATCCGACTGCTGTTTACAGCTTCTGGTCATGCATTCTGACTTCTGATTGGTTAACCAATCAGATGTTACAGATGTATTTCCAAATACAATCAGATAGACCTATTTTACATATGAAAAGCTGATACAGGGATTGAAATGCTAGTTTAAAGCATTGATGGTTGGCATAAATGAGTAGAAAAGCACATTACATCTAAGAGAAGTGACAAGAGAATAAAATATAGTTTTGAAGATACTAACATCAACCTTGTTAGGTTTTCTTGATTTTCTTTTGTGAAATGTTACACGTATTAAAGATTGACAATTCATTGCAGAATTTATATCATCATTATTATAAAGGCCTTGAGCTTTTTACTCACTTGCTTGGGTCTGCTCCTTTGAAGTAAGCATTGACAGTTTCTGTAAAGGCTGCGGCAACAGGGAGCGTATCCTGTGCACCCATTGTCAAGGGGCTGGGTCCTCGGGAAGCCCCTGCAATAGAAAAAGATGCATTTAACTCTTTAGTTCACTGGACTCATTTCAATGAACTATCCATTCACTTAACATGGCAATAAAATAAGCAGAGCAAAAATAAAAGGACAGCACACTAATGAATTAGTTCGACATGACTTAAATCATGCAGGGAGTATATAAAATAAAGGCAAAATAAAATAAAGGTTAGTGAAAATACATGTGAAGTTATTTCTTTGTACTCTCTTTCTGTAAAACCCTTAAACATCCTGCAGGATAAACTTTACAGTCTCTGCAGAAAAAATGGATTGCAAATCAATTATGCAGATTGAACAAACCCTTTGATGATGTCATTGTGTAAAAGCAGAATTCATGTCCAACATCTAAATACCTAATCTATTTTCACCCCTCCTTTCTTGGGGGTATTGGCTCATTCTGGGGTAAATTTCTACTGGCATCCACCACACTCTAGTACCTCCTGGAAGTGGCGATTCCTGATGCTGGAGCCGAGAGAGAGGCCATCTCCATTTGTCCTCATGAAATGCTCATGCATAAATGTTTTTCAAAAATGGTCAATAGGCAGAAATAGGATGTGACAAATTGTTGCCTTCCCTAACTCAAAGGCCAATATGTACTTTCATAGTAGGCTGAGCTAATAAAACAGAGCACCAACCAAAGTGGAACTTGGGATCTTCTTGTCCTAATGTCTGAGTTCCATACTGGCCAGTCTATTTAACTATAAGGCATGAGAGACTCAACAGAGTTGGTTTTTCTTTTGATCAAATTATAGAACTCAGATGAGCCAATGATTCCAATATTTGTGCAGAATGTTCTGATAGCCTACTGTTGACTTGTTCAAAACACACTGTAGCAAGTTATAAAGGCTATACAGCAGGTCTAGTAATTTATTAAATCTGTCAGAATTTTGGAATAACATCCTGATCCATTAATGTATTTCAGAGAAGTGACAACACCATTATTATTTGGTTTGGTCTACATCTGATCCCAATTCTACATGAGTTGATTGGTTCAATCTCCTTGGGCACTAGGGATGAGAAATGAGTACCACATTGCCAGTATCATCTACATTCCAAGAGTAAATTTAAAACAATATCAGGATAATTACAACAATCTTAGGAACTTATGAGGACTTGCTGAGTAAATGTAGTACAGCCTACAAGAAAAGGAAAGCTTGGATTCAATTCTCGTGCTGTGGAAGGTTAATAAATTATTAGCTCAGTTCTTAATCCTGATTATTATCCTGTAATTACTGCTGGAGAACACTGAAAGGATGCATTTTGTAACTGAAAAGATTGCTGCCATATATGCTGTAACACATACAGTGTACACTTGACTGAGGTATTGGAAAGCCGCCCAGTGTTTTGAAACTGGACTAGCTTGTATTACTTGCTTTATGAGAATGCGTGGTATAGAGTGGGGTTAAAGTATTGAGAAGCAAAGTGATGTCCCAGGTGAAAATGTCTCATTGTAACGTCTCATGATGATGAGCTGAATGAAACTTCTCATGTCAGAAAATTGGTACACCTGCTTATTTTCAATTAGAAATCATTTCAGTAGATTTTCATCCTATAGAAAAAAAGACTTCAATTGTTTCTTTCTCTTTGTTATTACATAGGAAGACTGATAATTCTATTTAATGTGAAACTCAACTTTGATGTTACTGATCACTCTGCCAGATTCAATTACCAGTAATTCCCGTTCAATTACTCTAATCCTTTCGTTATCCAGCCTTTCATTACCTGTGATACTATCCTCCACAACTTTCTATTTTTCCAAACTGTAACATTTCTTATAATAAATCTTAAAATTCCAATATAAAGCTTTCATCTTCATTTTATCACTTTTCCATGTAACTTCTACCCTTTTCAAACTTGGCAATGGTATGGACTCTTTAAGAAATCTTTTACATAGAACTTATGCAAATTGTACTAATACTTTGTCATTGACCAGAACCAGGGCAAAACTAACCACTTCTAATGGCAATGGTTCAAAATACAGTATTGTTTTCAAAGTCTTGCAGATTTTCTGGACAAAGAATTCTTCTGACTCTGTCAGTTTTCTTGAGAGCTTAGTTAATATTCATTCACCAGGACGCTGCTGGAGACTGAGGTGCCTCAACATGTCATTTAGAGTCTTTACTTCCATATTTAGTCAGAGATTGAACTCAAATCATTCAGGAATAAAATAAGATACCCACATACAGTGTAAAAGTTAACCTCCTCACTATCTCTTTCCATAGATATCTTTCAAAAATTGATTTATTGCTATAAATGCGAGCAGTTGACTATAGCGATAGCATTCCCATAGTCCCTACAGGTGGTGATGACATAAAAGAAGCAGAATAGTAAACAATCATTGTTCATATGACACTAAAACTAGTACAAATAGAACCCAGTGAGATTTCTCTATGGGACAGAAGTAAATGCATTCCAAACTGTAGTACCTAGGTCAGAAACTCTCAAATCATAGAATCCCTACAGTGTGAAAGCAGGTCATTCAGCCCATCGAAATCACACCGACTGTCCGAACAGCAGCCCACCAAGACCCACCATCCCCATCCTATCCCTGTAACCCTGCATTTCTCGTGGCTAATCCACCTAGCCCGCACAGGACTGAACACTATGGGCAATTTAGCATAACCAATCCACCTAAACTGCACCTCTTTGGACAATGGGAGGAAACCAGAGCACACAGAGGAAACCCACGCAGACATGGGAGAATGTGCAAACTCCACACAGACTGTCGCCCAAGGGTGGATTCAAATCCAGGTCCTTGGCATTGTGAAGCAGCAGTGCTAACCACTGAGCCATTGGGCCACCCAAATCTGATTTTTAGACAATGACCATAAGCAAGGTAGTGTTTGAGGCATTTCATTTGTTGTCAAATGCATGGTGAAAGCACATCAGTCTGCTTACTCATTCCATGTCCAGTTACTCCAATTGGAAAATCAGACTGTGGCTTTTGGGAAAGGACTTGGATTCAATGACAATCTTGGTTGTTGGGTGAGGACTTGTTATCAATGATGATCTTGGTTAATTACTTGCTAACACTCATTTCCTGAACTCATGCTACTTAGCTAGGGTATTGGTGAGATATTAGTGCTCGACAAAACATATCTCAGTAACAATCATAATCTTTGGAAGGGAAATGGAGAAATACAGCTCTGTAATATTTAGACATGGCCGTGGGACTTTTTTGAAAGCAGATTTCTGCTCATCAGTTCTTTTTTTATCTCATCTGAAACCCCACATTCATTCTACCAATTCAAAAATGTCACCACCATTCCAAATATACTGAAAAATACAACCTCCTGGGTCATTGAACTAGTGTAGCCACCACAGAAACACAGAATTGTTACACTTCAAAAAGAGGCTATTTGGCCCATTGTTCTAACACCTAGTGCCAATCCCCTACTCGTCCTCTACCACTGCATACCATTTCTATTCAAACTGAAGTCCTCTTGAATGCCTCAATTGAACCTGTTTCCACTACATTTTCAGGCAATGCTTTCCACACCCTAACTACTTAATGTTTGAAAACATCACCCTTGCTCACTTTAAATCTATGCATTCCTGTTCTTTTCTCTTTTACAAGGGGAACAGCTTCTCCGTATCTACTCTGTCCAGCCAGCTCATATTTGAAAGCCTCTATTCAATCCACTCTCAGCCTTCTTCTGTCCAAGGAGAACAGTCCCAACTTCTGCAAGCTATCCTCATAACTGAAGTTTCTCCTTCCTGGAACCATTCTGCATTCTCTCCAATCAGTCACATTTTCCTATAATGTGGCACCCACAATTCTGCATAATACTCCAACTGAGGTCTAACAAATGTCTTATAAGTTCAACATCACCTCCTTGCTCTTGTACTCTGTACACCTGTTAATAAAGCCACAAACACATTTTTCTTTATTAACTGTTCTCTCCACTTGTTCTGCCACCTTCTATGATCTGTGTACATATACAGGTCCCTCTTTTTGTCATCCCATTTTCTACGGCCTTTCAATGTTCTTCTGACCATTACCTGACACTTCTCTCTACTGACCCTCCTCTGCCACCTATCTATTCACTTCACCAACTTGTCAATGTCTTTCTGGAGTTCCACCGTATCCTCTTCACAGTGTACGATTCATCCAAGTTTCATGTTATCTGTAAACTTCGAGATTATCCTCTGCACACTGTGATCCAGATCATTAATATGTATCAGGAAAAGCAAGGATCCCAATACAGACCCCTGTGGAATTCCTCTATAAATCTCCCTCCAGCCCAAAAAATATCCCTTGACCATTACACTCTGTTTTCTATTACTCAACTAATTTTGTACCTATGTTGCTATTGTACCTTTACAGCATTACTCATAAGTGTGTTGTATCACACTGAATCAAATGCCATCTGGAAAATGTATTTTGTAGTATCTGATCAATTCACCGGAATTTCCATTTTTTGTTTGGAAGTGAGTGATACTATGAAAACTGTAAGCATATAATATTAATTGCCCTTTCACTCTAATTAATATTTCATGATTGTCATACGAAAGGAAGTAAAATGTTATGAAGTATACATACTGTATTTTATAAAGTATTAACTCTAAGAATATTACCCTGTCTTTTTAATTTTGTTTCGTCTACTCATTTGTTTTATGCTGTACATTCTATTACACATTCTATATTCTTACAAAGCAACATCTATTTAGAAGAAGTTTACATATTAATGATTTAATCATGATTCTTGCCCTGATAACCTCGGCCACTTCCTTTACAAATCAAATATTAAATTCAGCAGGATTCAGCACAATACTCAATATATTAGCAAAACAAATGTCGTATCTGATTCTGTTGCAGGTATGACGTTAAAAGTTTAGTAAGTTGACACTGTGCAAAATAATATATGCTCTCCCAATGATTTAATTGGTAAATAATTTGACCAATACAACATTGAGCCATACAAATCATGAAGATTCAGACTCACCCTTTGCTCTGCTCTGACTTATTTAACCTCAGATAGAGCAGAAACTTGAGTTTGATTTCAGAAGATCAGACTTAGGGAAAGGATTTTAAAAAAGTCAGTCTAGATTCTTGTTTTTGATCACTTTCCAGTTACTGGAAAGTGGGTTTGTATATTTATGTGGACAGAATGGACTCATCTATGATTGTCCCAGTGACTATATTACATAGCAGAACACCAAGATTAGGCTCCAGCATAATTAATGGCCACTCGAGTGAGGCACCAAAGACAGTTATTATCCTTAGTCAGAATTCCAGCATATGGTCAGAAAACAGAAGTGGGAAAAGTTTAGCAGCGTTTGGATGCTTGCACAATAAGATTGTATTTTTTTAAAAGTATTGTTAAGGGAATATTATTTTTAATAATTAACCCAATATGTCTGACTAGTTTTCTGAGAGCACACATCTCGTTGAGTGTACACTGAGCCCCCTGGAGAAAATCACGCATCCTCCCATGGTTTACTGACCACCGTGTAAGGCGCCTGTGATTTCCTGCTGCGCTACTGGTGGATGGTTTTGCAGCGTGCATCACCAACACGGCTCTGTGTAATGACATCATCATTGGGTCGAAGCAGGTTTATTTCATTAATATAATAATACTTTGATTTGTAAGGTGGGAATGGGGAAATTTAATTTACAAAGAATATTGATAAATTTTAAGTTGGCATGTTCTGCCACATTGGCTTTACTTTTGAAATAGACAGATGATAAACATTCATTCAAATGATATATATGTACCTGAAGAATAATTATATGAATAACTATTATCATGATTTATTGTGCTATAAGAACAGAATAAGTATTTCACAGAACAATATTGAAAATGCAACATGTAAACAGTGTGCAAACAGAAATGTTATAATAGGTACTGTGAACAGAATGGAAACATTATTAGCGAATGAAACTTAGGACTGGCTAACATATAGGAATAAAGGCTGCAAGGCCAGAAAGGAAACAAAAAGGAAAAGAAGTGTCGCGTAAATTGTACATTACTTACCATCAAAAGTCAAATAAAATTTTCCTCTATCAAACCATACCAAGGAGGGTTGATCATTCTCTGCATGGTTAGGAGATGAAGTGGGATAGGAGGAGTGAAGGCAAGGAAGAGAGAAGGACACAGTGTGAGTCACACATAAAGTCCATCACTCGTAACATTGGGGAAGGCCAGGTGCACAGTCAAAACAATGAAATCGTCACTATGCAAAAAACAGTCTACAGTGTTACTGAATTGACATGTCTGCCTCAATTTCTTTCTGAGGACCTCAGCTCAACTTTGATTGTACAATGAGTGCAGTACCTGTGTTTGATCAATTTGTTAATTGTAGCGACATCAAAAACATAATTGAAATACTCCGGCAGAAAGTCATCAACCTGAAGTGCTATTTCTTTCTCTTCATAGATCCAATCTAACCTAATGAGAATTTACAGTGCACATCTCTACCTCCATGAAAGCTTTGAAGAACTTGATTGAAGATAATGGTCATGGTAATTGAAAAACCATGTTAAAAATTACTCTGGTTATACTTTGGTTGATCAGCGAGAAAACTTGTACCAAGAGCTTCAGAAACTCTTCATTTATATGAGCACTTTGAACAGATTTCATTCAGTTCTTTCAGACATATTTAGTTCAGAAGATATTAAGTTTGAATCTCGGATTTCTCCTGAGCCTCTGCTTGAACTTTACATGTTGATTGGTGTGTTACACGATCTATTATAAACTGTATTTTTATGACAACATGAAGTTTAAAGGTGGAGAATGCTTAGTTTCTACATTTTAATTTCAGCCTGCATCATTTTAAGAAACTTTGTAGTGATCTTGGTAAAGTTCTACAATGTTATGTATTTTCAACGTAATAATATAAAGATGAAATAATGTGAATGATCAATGAGAACTTGGAAGACTATCAAACTTCAGTAAAATATTATAAATAACACTAGGCTATTGCATTTTTGACCACCTTGGTTAATAAGCAACAATAATAGAATGCCTAACTTCATCACGACATGTAGACTTCTTCCCAAAGCATAGTACCTCTGAAGCAAAGTGATTTGACAAACATTAATTTCTACCCCACTCTGACTTTTCAGTGGTAATTTGACCCAAACCCACCTGCTGGGAAACTGAAAAGTGCAACAGCAATTCAATATCTCATCCAAAATTAGGCTCAACTGAATTCAATGGAAAGTAAAATAAGCAGGCTGTTTTCTTAATGTTATGCCAAATCCAACGAGTTTCCTGATGTACTGGTTAGCTTAAAACTACACTGTACATCTCTATTTCTGTTGTGATATTAAATTCCAAATAAATGCCTGCAATCCTCCTATCAGACAAGGGGTTCAATACACTCATGTGTAACAGAAAAAGAGTTTTGCATGGGTCTATATAACAAATTGTTAGGGTTACCTACTTGTTGGTCATAGTTGGAAAGCTTGTACCAACGTAGAAATTTTACTGGTGCAGTGGATCAGGAGGTGCTTTATTTTGCCTCAAATTGTGCTTTGCACTGGCTTTGTGTTTTGTGAGAATGTTAATGTGGAATGAGGTAGAATGAATAAGAGACCTCATAACAATCATAACATTGTAGAATTTCAAATTCATTTTGAGACAGACCAACTCAGACAAGTAAAGGAAAATTGCAGAGATATGAAGAAAGAGTTGTCCAAAATTGACTTGGATAACAGATTAAGGGAAAAATGAGTGGATGTACAGTGGCAGACTTTAATTATATATTTCATAACACTCAGCAAAATCATTATTCCTGCCAAAAAGAAGGAATCGATGAAAAGGATTAATCACTTGTGGTTAACAAAGGCAGTCAAGGAGTGTATTCCATCAAAAACTAAGAGATACAAAGTAGAAAAAACCAGTCATAGGCCAGAGGATTGGGTTTTGTTTTAGGAACCAGCAGCTAATAAACAGGGAGAAAATTGATTATGATGATAAATTGACGAGAAATGCAAAATCAAACAACAACAGCTTCTATTGGTAAATAAAAAGAAAGAGAGGAGCCCAAGTATGTGCTGGACCCTTGGAGGATACAAATGTGGAATTAATAATGGAAACAGGAAAATTACAGATAACTTAAACTGATACTTTGCATTGGTCCACGGTGGAGGACCCTATAAACATCCCAAATAAAACAGATAATGGAAGATGCTTATGGGAGAAAAGATCTTGTAGCTGTCTCCAGCATCGAGGACAAATTCCTTGAGAAACTAATGGGACTGAAGGCAGACAGGTTGCCAGGACCTGATGGCCTACATCCAAGGATTTTGAAGGAAGTAACTGTATAGATAGTGGAAGCTTGGTGGCAATACAAGGGGTTCCTGACTCATGAATATCCAACTTACAAACATTCATACTTACAAACGTGATCTCATACAGGGCTGTAATTTGAAAGATCTGACATACAAATATTTCCTGTACTTATGAATGACTCTTTTATATTATCCTGCATTGTATTCTGACAAGTGTACACATTGACTTGCAAATGGAGTCCAGAATGGAACCTGTTCACAAGCTGGGGACTGCCTGTACACTACAACTCATTGGATTCTGGGAGGGTTCCAGTGGATTGGGAAACTAACAATGTGATGCCCCTGATCAAGAAGGAAGGGAGACGGAAAGCAGGATACCATAGGCTAGTTAACCTAACATCTCTCAATAGGGAAATGTTGGAATCCATTGTTACAGAAGAAATAGCAGGACATATTGAAAATTTTAATGCAATCAAGCAGAGTCGAAATGGCTTTCTGAAAGGGTCATAGAATCGTAAAGAACGAAAACAGACCCTTTACTCCAACCAGTCTAAGCTGAACATAATCCCAAACTAAACTAGTCCCACCTGTCAGCCCCTGGCCCATATCCCTCCCATATTCATGTATCTATCCAAATGTCTTTGTAACATTGTAATTGTACCCACATCCATCACTTCCTCAGGAAGTACATTCAAAGTGCGAACCACCCTCTGTGTAAACTTTTTTTGCTTCATGTCTTTTTTAAATCTCTCTGCTCTCACCTTAAAAATGTGCCCCCTAGTCTTGAAAGGGAGATCATGTTTGACACATTTGCTAAATTGCTTTGAGGATATAACAAGTGGAACACAGGAATGCATTTCCAGAATGCATTTGATAAGCATGTTACACAAAAGGTTATTGTAAGATAGAAGCTCATAGTATTGGGAATAACGTATTAGCATGGGTTGAGGATTGGTTAACACACTGAAGAGTCACGATTAATGGATCTTTTTCAAGACAGAAATATATAACTAGTGGAGTGTCACAAGAATAAGTCCTTAGAATTATTTACTATCTATATTAGTGACTCAGAGGAGGGGGAAAGAGTATAATGTATCCAAATTTGCTGATGGTACAAAATTAAATGGGAGGGTATGTTATGGTGAATACATAAGGAAGTGCAAGGGGCTACAATGAAATTGAATGAGTGGGCAAAACTTGGCAAATGGAGTTTATTGTAAGAAAATGTGAGGTTAGACACTTTGGTAGGATTAATTAATTATTTAAATTCTTTAAACAGAGACAGACTTCTAAAAAATTGCAGGGCACTGGGATCTGGGTGTTCTTGCGCACGAAACATAATAAATTATCATGCAGCTGCAGCAAGTAATTAATAAGGTAAATAGAATTTTGGCCTTTATTACTTGGTGGGGGGGGGCACGGTTAGAGTTTAAAAATAGGGAAGTCTTGTTATAAGGGTGTTGGTGAGTCTGGATGTGGAGTATTGTGTACAGTTTTGTTCCGTATATTTAAGAAATGATGCATTGACATTGGATGCAGTTCAAGAGAGATTCACTTGCTGATTTCTGGGAAGATGATGTTGACTTATCAACTCTGAGGATACTTGATAGGTTAGATGTTGAGAAGATGTTTCCACGAGTGGAAGGGTCTCAAACTCAGGGATAGAGTTACAGAATAAGGGACACTGATATAAAACTAAAACGTAAAGCTTTTTTTCTCTCAGAGGAGGGTGTATTCCTGGAATTCTCTACTCCAGAGAGTTGTGGAGGCTAGAGTTGTGGCAGCCAGATCACTGAAAGTATTTAAGGAGAAGGTAGATAGACTTTTGAAATTTTTTACAATTGCAAGCTATGATGAGCTAAAAAAAAGAGCATGAGAATAGGAAATTAATAATGGGAAACAAGGAAGTGGCAGAAACCTGCAACAAATATTTTTGTATCTGTTTACAGTAGAAGACATAAAACACATCCCAAGAATAATGGGGTCTTATAAGAAGTGGAGGCAGTACAGTAAATGTAATGCCACTATTTGAGGCAGAGGGACAGAGAAAACAGGGAACGTTGGGCCAGTTAGTATCTGTCATTGGGAAAAGCTGGAATCCATTATTAAGGAAGCAGTAACAGATCTTTTGACAATCATAATCCAACAAAGTCAAGATGGTTTTGTGAAAGGGAAATAGCATTTGACAAATTTATTCGAGTTCTTTGAAGATATAACAAGCAGGGTGGATAAAGGGGAACCAGCAAATGCAGTGAATTTGGATTTCCAAAAGGCATTTGATAAAGTGCCACAGAAATGATTAAATGATGGTGTTGGGTGATATCAGTGGAGTGCCACTGGGATCAAGGCCTCAACTATTTACATTATGTGTGACTTGGATGAAAGGATTGTCTATATTGTAGCCAAATCTGCTGATAATGCAAAACTAGTTAGGGATGAAAGTTGTGAGGAATACAGGAAGAGTCTTCAAAGGGAAATGGATGGTGTGAGTGAACAAAAGAAATGGAAGACAGAGTATAAACCAGGAAAATGTGAAGTTGTTCACTTTGGCAGGAAGAATAGAAGAGTCAAATGTTATTTAAATAAAGAAAGACTGCAGAATGCTGTGATACAGAGGGATGTTGGTTTTCCCATACATGAATCGCATGAGGTCAGCATACGGGTACAACAAGTGCTTAGAAAAGTAAATAGAATGTTGGTGTTTGTTGTGAGGGGTGGAGTGTAAAAGTAGGGAAGCCTTGCTACATCTGTACTAGGCAATGGTGAGACCATGCAGGGAATACTGTGTGCAGTTTTGGT